TGTAAATTTCCATACGAATTTTCATGCCATTTTTTTCCCTCATTTTCCCATCCATAATCATTGGAGGTTGTATGAGAGTTAAGGGTTGCTTGGGATTTGTATGTTTGAATTTCAAGTTCAAACTCCCTCCAACCCTTTTAATAACTTGTGGGTCGGGTTATCCCACATGGGCGACCCACGACTTGTATTTTTTTAACATCAAATACGTCCATTTGTGTTTGAATGATCGCGAGTTCTCTCTAATCAATAAGTTGTGTGAGGAATTCATCTTGACTATTTCAACAAAAAGAGATTCAAAGATAACATTACTTAGAGCTTTTGAGATGCATAACAATTTAAAAGAATTTGTACGACTGTTTCTAGTCTTATTTTATTCATTTTTTAAAACTAACTTTTACGTTGTTTTTTAGAGAAATCTTTTCCAAATTTAACTCTTGTTTGAGCCATATTCTCATTTTCATTTTCATTCTTCTACTCATTTTCAACCACACATTTTTCAATAAAATAATATTTTCCATCACATCAATAACTATTTTCTTCTTTTACAACCACATATTCACCATCACATTACAAAAAACATGCATTCTTTCCATTTTAATGTACATCAAACACACTTTAAAGTAAAATGTGAAATTTTAGAAATTAAGCCCTTATCTGAAGTTTATTTTTTGAGAAATGATTTTGTAAAAAGTAATTTAGAATACTTGGTTAAAAAGTGGAAAAAAGTAAGGAAAAATATAAAATAAAAAAAAAATAAAAAAATTAGAAGAATATGCGATTGAAAACGGGTGTGTGGTGAAATTTAGGACCGGCTTGGTTTGTATTTCGATTTTCAGTTATGAATTCATTTTCAATTTTCTGTTTTGAGACTTTGTTTGATTTAAATGCTAATTATCTTTGCTTTTCGTTCCTATCAGAGAGATTGTCTTTGAACCAAGCTTGATGAGCAAGGAGGCTACAACTCTGCAATTTTGTGAATCAGAGGAAGTGTGTGCAAATTGCTCGTCACCAGACTTCCATGGGATAGAGCCGTAGAGACTACAAGATGAGATAAAAGAGGCTGCACATAACTAGAACAGAATGGGT